AAGAGTTTAAAAGAATACAAAAGCCTATTCTAAATTGAATTTGTGTTTCAATTGGATTGGAAAATACTTTTCACAAGAAGAGTTTAAAAGGAATATAAAAATCTATCCTGAATTGATTTTGAAAACTACTTTTTCTATATAGGTCTCCATAATTGGTTTTACAATATCTCAAAATATTTTCATCTAGCCAAAACGCCAAAACTTGTGAGATCTCTTAGAATAACTGTAAGCTTCAATTCCATCTTTATGAGGAATTTTCTGATATGATTTTTTAAAAACTCTCAAAATCTCTGTATATCTCTGACCTGTTCGTTCTTTACAATCGAACAATAGGTTAATTGGAACCGTTCGTTTGTTCATTTTATGCTCAAGGCCAGTTGGGTAAATAAAAATCAAAATTGAAAATTCACTACAAGAAAAATCACTTTTGGCGACTAAATTTTTAGTCGCCAAAAGTCCACTTTTAGTCGCCGAAAGTCGAGTTTTTGCTTTCAGCGACTAATTTTTTTGAATAACTGTAAGCTTCAATTCCATCTTTATGAGGAATTTTCTGATATGATTTTTTAAAAACTCTCAAAATCTCTGTATATCTCTGCCCTGTTCGTTCTTTACAATCGAACAATAGGTTAATTGGAACCGTTCGTTTGTTCATTTTATGCTCAAGGCCAGTTGGGTAAATAAAATTCAAAATTGAAAATTTGTAGTTTCTTGAAAATTAAGAAGGCTAATTGGGTCAGACTGTGTTTGTGAATTTACTACAAATCATCGTAGTAAATAAACTTAGTTGAAGGTTGCAAGTACTCTCAATTTTGCCTCTATAGTCTTGGATCTTTACTAGTGTTGGGACTGTAGTTTTTCACCTTTTGGGGTTTTTCACATGTTTATGTGTGATTGATTAGATAGATTGATTTAATTGGACATAAAATTGAAAAAAAATTAATTGGATAGTCTATTCACTCCTACAAAATTGACACAGACCCCACTTGGGGGTGACCCCTACTATCCCCACATACATGTAGGGGGAAAAAAAACATGTGGGTTTAAATAAAAAAAAAAAATTGGACCTATCAGCATTCATTGGAAGTAGTGGGGGTCACCCCCAGTCGAGGTCTCACTCACTTTTGTTCACCCCTATAGGCACATAATATTCCGACTATAATATTTCAATTATAGTGGACAATATTCTTAGACCATTCACATTGGATTAACCCTTTTTATTTTTATTTTTTTTATATTTTTTGATCAGCTAAGAAAATTTGATGATGAAGATGGAGTACAAAATGATAGCTTGGTGAATTGCATCATAGCTCGGAAAGTACATTCAGCGCCACGTCATTAGTGATCTATTAGTGGACTTCAATTAGTGATTTGAAACATTTTTGTACATTCTAACTGTGTTGGTACTTACAATCGAACCCAATCATGTACAGGTCAAAACAAAAAAAAAAGAAGGGTTGGCGGGGACCCAACCAACAGAGGGATACAATCCAGATATAATATAGGAAAATGAAAACCATCAAATAAGTTATCAAGTAGAGGGCCTGATCTTAGTGGCTTTGATTCCATCCAAAGCAAAGATGAAATCATTGATTGAGTAGTCAGAAATGTTGGCTGAAATCTTCACCCAAGAGGCCATTCGAACTTTCACAAGCTTCGCAATATCCCTCCATGTTAATTCCTTCTTGTTGAAGACCTCATTTTGGCCCAGCCAAAGGGACCATAAGATAGCCAATGGTTATGCATCCCAAAAAAAAAATAAAAATTATTAGACCTAACATCTAACTTAAATTTTTTTGGGACTAAAATTTTAGAAAACATTTAGGAGACCTAGGCTGCATTATGGTGAGCTAACTTACATCTTATAAAATTTTTCCTATAATAATTGGACAAAATATCAAAATCAAAATAGAACAGCCAAAAGCAACCTTCCAATTAACCATCCCATTCAGGAGGGTGGCTGCCGGTAGTGAGGATTGACTCAATCCTCTCTCTCTCTCTTTCTCAGTTCATACAAAATTCAACACAGTTTGTCTAAAACTACATTCTTTGTCACCTTATATTTGTAAACATCCACATCTACAACAATTATACACACATAAAATACATACTCTTAATCAAGATTTTCCAATCTTGCCATAACAATAGTGGAACAGAATCAGGCTCATCCACTAGCACCACCTAGTACGCATCGTAGAAGCAACGAAGAGTTTGCCATTGTAAAACCCAATAATCTTCATCGACAAAAAACCAGTAAGTGTCTTGTTCACATCCTCATCGGTATTGTCTTGCTAAGCACAGCCACACTGGTTTTTGCACTAGCTGTGTTGCGTATCAAATTTCCTCAAGTCAATCTCAGCTCGGTGGCAGTTAAAAATCTTAAGTATGCCACTGCACCGTCATTGGCTTCAATGAATGTGACCGTGGTGGCTGAGAACAGTGTTGAGAACAAAAACTTTGGGGGATTCAAATTAGCATGTGGCTGTTGGTGGTGCTAAAATTGAGGGAGGTCGTGCTGGAGTTAGGGAGACAAAGAGAGTGATTGTTGTTGTGGAAGTGAGATCGAATGGGTTGTTCAGAAAGAATCAGAATTTTAACAATGATTTGAATTCTGGGTTAGTGAACTTGAGATGGTATGCCAAATTGATGGGTCGACTTCGTGTGTTGAAGATTATTAATAACCGTAGAAGTATTGAAATGAATTGCACCATGAGTATCAATTTGACGACTATAGCAATCCAGGATTTAAGATGCATGTAAATTTGATTGAGAAAATTGTTAAAAAGTTCACTCTAACAATTCTTTAAAGTATTGGGTTAGTGAATATTTTTTTTATTGATAAGAGGTTCACCATTTATAAAATAATCTAGTAAGAAGTCTTTTTAATTGTTTTGAAGAACATTTTATTTCCAAATTTACCCATCTGACTTTTGTTAATTATATGTTCAAATTTTTTTTTTTTTTCTATCTGTTCTAATTTTTTCCCTATCCATTAAATTTTTTTCTTATCTATTCAAAATTTTTCCGTATCTGTTCAAATTTTTTTTATTATCTATTCAAATTTTCTCCTTTATCTGTTCAAATTCTTGTCCTAACTTTTCAATTTTTATCTGTTAAAATAGTAATTCATTTTTTTTTATCTGTTGAAACAGATTTGATCTGATCTGTAGTATATTCAACGGATCATAATCATTCATCATCGTCAACAACAACAACAGTATTGTTCGTAGTGCACTTGCACTTAGATTTATAGTTTCGATAAGGTCTTACACCATTGTTTATCACAAGGTGTTCTTCAAGTTTACTTCATGGAGTTTTGAATAGATCTAGAACAAATCTAACTTTAGAGAGAGAAAGTGAGAGTTAGAGAGAGAAAGAAATGGTGTAAGACCAAAAACAATAATAAGCACACAGATTCACTAAAATTTCACTTTATCCTTATTTTTCCTTTTCTTCTGATGAACCAAACAGAAAAAGAAAAGAAAAAACTGGATTATACATTGTTTTTTGACCAAAACCAAATAGAGATTGACTGTGCCAACATAATCAAACCAAATAGATTTGTGCCTCATATTTTGCTTCTCTTTTGTTCTTTCTCTATTCAATTATATACATAGTTTCTAACTTAAGCAACATTCATCTCCTATATATATATATAACATTAAATCAATTACATCACAAATTAACCATAAATCCTTAATATTTATTCTAACTTCAAACTTCTACTTAATTTTCATTTAATTATATTTTACAGATACATACATACATACACTATAAAAAGAACAATCTGAAATGGAGGTAAGGAAAGGAGACAAAACAATCAAACATTATAATGTGTAAAGGAATCAAACACATTTAAAGTATTGAAGTAACGAAGAAGTCAAACTTGTTTACAGCAATGGAGGAAGAAGGAGCGGTACAGCAACAAGTAATCGAGCGAGAGAGAGAAGGACCAGACTCGATATAGTGCAACCCGACGACACTACTCTCCTGGAGTTGCGACACCGCGACACCGGCACAGCGAGGAAGGACCACCAACACCTACATATAGATCAGCTCAAATCTCAACCCACGATGGTCAGATCTCAGATCCAGCGGAGCCTATGGCAGTGGATACGAGGACGGTGGGGGAGATCTACTGAGAGCATCTCCAACCATACTCTTTAAAATGCCTCCTCAAAGTACACAGAAAATTACCTTATTTATTTTGCCTAACTAGTTTAGCTAGTGTACACTCCAACCATACTCTTTATTTTAGCTAACCAATCAACTAACTTAACTAATTTTTAAAAGAAAACTAGTATAAACATTAATAAATAAATAAATAATCTTTTTATGACATGTTGCATATATTGACGTGGCATTTGCAAATATTTATTTATTTAAAATATATAATTAAATTATTTATAAAAAAAATATTTTCAAACAATCATATTATCTCAATGGTCATATTTTCAAACGATAATATTCTCTCAACGGTTATCTTTTCAAACAGTAATATTCTCTTAATGGTCATATTTTCAAACGGTATTATTCTCTAACAGTAATATTCTCTAACGGACATATATTTTTGTTTATAAAAAGGATTTGCTCTTTCATTTTTACCAATTTGAACTATTTTTCTTAACTTCATTCATTTTTTAATTACCATGGCTTACAATACCATGAAAATGATTCTTTACGACTTTGACGGTGATGACGAATTGCAGCTAACAACTGCAATAGAAGAAGAGTGACTCAATAGAGAAAGATGTTTGAGAAGACGTAGTGGTTCTATTGAAGGCCATGCAGTTATTTATCGCGATCGAGTTCAAGGCCATGAGAGATTTTGTCGAGACTACTTCTTAGAAACAATTATATATCCTACCCATTTATTGAAGAGGAGATTCCAGATGAATCGATCTCTCTTTTTTCATATTCTATCTACGGTGGAAGCATACGATCCATATTTTGTCTAGAAAACAGATGCTATTGGAATCATTGGTTTGTCTTCCCTTCAAAAAATGACAGCTACTATGAGGATGCTCGCTTATGGAGTAGCAGCAGATTCAGTGGATAATTATGTGAGAATTGGTGAAAGCACTGCTATAGAGAGTCTAAAACGCTTTGTTAAGGCGGTGGTTGCAATATTTTTTGAGAGGTACTTGAGGAGCCCTAACAACGATGATATTTCAAGATTATTAGCGATGGGAAGCAATCGCAGGTTTCCTGGTATGTTAGGGAGCATTGATTATATGCATTGGAAGTGGAAAAATTGTCCTATTGCACAGAAAGGTATGTATTCAGGTTACATCCATGAACCAACTATTATTTTAGACGGTGTGGCTTCTCAAGATTTATGGATATGGCATGCCTTTTTTGGGATGCCCGGATCTCATAACGGCATCAATGTATTAGATCGTTCTTCTGTATTTTCACTCCTTACTCAAGGTCATGCTCCTCCAGTCAATTACTTAATCAATGGAAATGATTATACAATGGGATACTATCTTGCCGATGGTATATATCTGCAATGGGCAACATTTGTCAAAATAATCTCATCTTCACAAGGGAATAAGCAAATATATTTTGCAAAAGCTCAAGAATCGACAAGGAAGGAGGTTGAGTGAGTATTTGGTGTGCTCCAAGCACGCTTCGCGATTGTGTGAGGACTTGCATGTTTTTGAAAAACGGAAATAATGGAAGATATTATGATGGCATGCATAATAATGCATAACATGATCGTTGAAGATGAGAAGCATGCCAATGGAATAGACTTTAATTATGATACAATTAGTGAAAGTCTTCCACCAGTGTCTCATGAGCGTGTACACCAGAACTTTATGAATTAATTCAAAATCATCATTGCATCAGAGATAGAGGAACTCACTCCAAACTCAAACAGGACTTGGTCGAACACTTGTGGACACTATATGGAGACTCCTTGTGAGAAGTACTTGTTGGTTCTTATTGATTTATGTACTAGTTTATATGCTTTATTGAGTGTGTTTTCAAAAATATTTGTACAACTTTATGTACTTTCAATAATACATCACTAGTGATTTGTTTTTAATCTATGATCTTTAGTGATACTTAGAATAAATTTTTTCTGTCAATAAAACAATAAAACAAGCCATACTAAAACAATAAAACAATATATCATTGCAGCTTGTATCATTTTACTCTAAATAAAACAATACAAAAATGTGCTAGCAACAAGCCATATAAAAGTGATGTAATGAATTTAGCTGTTTGACAAACCATCAACAACAAGAAGCACCAACCCTAACTGAAACTATCCCAAAACATTACAAAATATCTCTATTTTCAGCAGCATGACAATTCAGCAAAGCAACCCCAATTGATACAAGATGTGCCAACAAACCCAAAAATAAAATACAGTCAAACTTAAATTAAATAAAAACATAGTTTCAAAGCTAAATAGAAACAATTAATTCCTTTTTTCAAGGATTTGAATTTCACGTTGGCGAATATATTGTGCTTGTAATGGAGGCATCATACTTGTATCCATTGACATGATTCTCTCTTCCTTCCTCCAATGCAAGCCTTTGTTCCTCTCTCCTTTTCTTATTTTCAATCCTCCGTTCCTATTGAAGATAAGATTTCTCAAATATCTCTATTTTCTTCTCATTTGTTATGTCGTTCTTTACCTTTATCTCTTCTAAGAGCTTCACAAAAGGCGACTTGTAACATTATTTCCAAGATCTTTGGCTTTGTTTTTCTTTGCGGCCTTCCTTCCTGCTGGTCTTTCCACAACATCATAGTTATCATTGTCCCCTAAATTTACTGAATCTGGTATACAAGGTTAGACATTGCCGGAGATGCATTTTTTGTGTTTTTTTTGCTTCTTCGTTGTTGTATCTTCCATCCATTTTGGTTGGGATCTCAATTCATTCCAACAATGCTCAAAGGGAAAGTTCGATTGATGCAAGTCTTTGTACAATTTTTTCACATCCTGAATCTGAAAAATAGATTAAAGAATAGTCACTATCACGTAATGAATAATATATATTTATTATAGGTACAAAATTAAATTCTAGTAATACTTTGTCTTTTTCAGTCGAACCACTTCAATTCAACCATTCAACTTGAGCAAAACATCCACAAAATTTATTTGTGGCAAGTTGAATCGTCGACCACCGATTCATTAAAGAAGTTTGAGTCTTTTCAGAATTGAAGGTTTTGGACTTGTTCAAGTTCTCCCACACTCTTAACCAATATTCCTTTGACTTTTGCTCATTTCCTCTAATTGGATCTAAGCTAATATTAAGCCATGAAGATATGAGCATCATGTCTTCCTCTACGGTGAAGTTCCCTTTTCGTTGTGATATCTTTGTGGTTTGAGTAATAATTTCAGGAGAGAATGATAAAGATCGACTCCCTTGTTGAGGAGATTCAGTGGTAAAATCATGGTCAAGGTCAAACTCGTCGTTCATTAGGTTGCTAAAATATGCATTTCCTTGATATTCCATCTAAAACACAATTTGTTCATACCACACAAAAAGGAGGAAAAAAAAGTATCAATTCATGGCCTAATTCCAAAAATAATGAATTTTAGAATGGCGGACATAATACACCCAGAGTGAGCCATACCTGTAGCTTATTAGATTTCAAAACCAATAATTCAAGTAAGATGTTATTTAGGTAGGCAACCCAAAAAGGGGGGTGAATTGGGTAATTTAAAAATTTGGTCCAAGAATAAATTAGCAAAGACTAAGTGATTAAAAAGATGATAATAAATGAATACACAGAAAATGAAAGAAAAGGAAATAAGAGCTTGACACAAGGATTTATAGTGGTTCGATTCACCAGCCTACATCCACTCCTCAAGACTCCTTCTTAAGAATTTCTTCACTATAAATAGATGCACCACCAAGCTTCACCTAGCCTGTGGATTTTACAAGGACTTACTTCAATCTGTTGAGGACCTCTCAACTAAATGCCTCACCTTACAGGTGTGTCACTCAGAAAATAAGGAGCAAGACTAAGAGGTACAACTATCCTCTTTTACAAATATTCTCTCACAAGAGATGGATATGAAAGTGTAAGCTCTCAAGTAATTTAAGTCTCATTCAAATATGAAAGTGGAAGTACAAATGGAGTATAATAAAAGCTCTTGATTGCTCTTGAATGCATTAGGCTTGTTGTGTTCAAGGAGTGTGTTGAATGAACATGAAGAGCTTCATCTTTATAACATTAATAGTATCACCATTAGAAAGAGAGAGGTTTTGAAATTTTTAGCCGTTGAAGAAGATCAAGCATGATTTATTCCAACTGTTGTTTAATCACAGTATGGTGAGTTGCAGACTGTGGATAGGACTTGGGAATGGAAGGATCATTTAATGCACATGCTTTTATTTAATGCTCTTCTTCATAGGTCAACTTCTTGGAGGGGATATGGTTCCAGAAAAACTGTTCAGAGGTCAAAAAAGTTGACATATTATGCACAGAACTCTGAAAAAGTAACTGAGAAACGATTTGCTGCAATTTGGATCTGATTTGGCAGGTTGAATTTTTAAACCCTGATATTACAGGTGTCGACCCTTGCAGATTTGGGTGTTGTCCCTTTGCTTCTCTCTCTTCTCTACGTTGAGTCTCAAATGTCTCTGGTATCGACCATTGTTGCTGAATTGCATTCTAAAATTTGGTGTCGACCCATGCTGCTAAATTACATTATGAAATTTGGTGTCGACCTTGTTGCTGAATTGCATTTTGAAATTTGGTGTCGACCCTTGCAGCTAGAACACTTGTGCATTTTGAGCCTCATTCTGGTGTCGACCCTTGCCATCTCGGTGTCGACCCTTAGACCTGTTTTAAGTATAGATAGAGTTTTGCAACCATGTTTTGATGCTCATGTTTTGAAGCCCCAAAATTCATTAAAAACAATACTTTAGAGTCATATGACTTCTAGAATTTATGAAGCACAAATTTTTATATTTTTATTTTGAAAACTTCAAATAACAAAATAAATTCAAAATATTTGTTCATAATCAAAATCAATAGAAATTTAGAATTGAATAACCTTGGGGCTAACAATCTCTCCCTTGTTGATGATGACAAATATTTAAAGTTTTCAAAGAATGAGTAAAAGCATTAAGAAGAGTTGTTTTAAGGAATTTTTGTAAGATAAGGGATTTGAAACATAAGATCAAAAACTTCCCCTCTAAAAAGGGCTTTATGACCAAATCAAAGAAGATGAGAAATCAAGACAATAGATTAAGCTCCCCCTGTCAACATGTACTAAAGTAATTATTAGTGAAATCAATTTCTACAATTTATTTTCATTGAATGAAATCACAAGCATTTAACATAGATTCCATAATCCTTAAAATATAGATATCACAATGCATCACAAGCATTCATAATCAATCGCAATTAATAACGGAGTATTTTCATACCATAATATATTTGTGTTTCCAAAATATCAAGAACTTCAGTTTTTCATACCATAATATATTTGTGTTTCCAAAATATCAAGAACTTCAATTTCTCAAATGTTTGTCCAAAAGTAAATGTTTCTAAGCATCCACATCTAATAATTATTCCTAAGCATCCACATACCTAAGCATCCACATCTAAGCTTTCATACCATAATATATTTGTGTTTCCAAAATATCAAGAACTTTAGTTTCTTAAATGTTTGTCCAAAAGTAAATGTCTCTAAGCATCCAAATCTAATAATTGTTCCTAAGCATCCACATACCTAAGCATCCACATCTAAGCTTTCTAAGCATCTAAGCATCCATATCTAATAAGTAACCAAGTACAAAGATAACTTAAGGAAAAACAGCCACAACAACTACAACTTTCTCCCCCTTTGTCATCATCAAGAAGAGGCAGCAGCTAGCGGAAAGGTGGAGGAGAACGTGGCCAGTGAGAAGCAGCTTCGCACCAATCTTGCACAAACCACAGCATAAATTTCCTAATCTGTTCCCCCAAATCATTATCCCAACGCTGTTGAAAGATTTGACGAGATTCTTCATTAAAGGCCTTGATCCCATAGACGGCGACCACCATACTTTCAACACTTTCTTTAGCAACTGCTATGACTTGGTCTTGTTTCAATTTCATGCAATCAATATCATGCTGCATTTCAGTTAGCTTAGAGACAAGTTGGAGAACTAGGGCGCTCAACTCATCTATTTTTTCTTCCAGGGTAGAGGAGGATGATACAGGAATAGAGTGAGAAGATGATGAAATGTCAGTGGCAGGGATGGAGTGAGAATATAGGTTGAGATTTTTAAGCTTACAATTAATTGAAGCAATCCCATCCATCAGGGGACCCTGAACCATAAAGTCAAGATGGTCAATTTTTTGAAAGAGAGAGATGAGAGGTCAGAGGAAGGTGATGGAGAAGAGGGACCAACGGTGGACAAGGGAAGTGGAGGACTGTGAAGAGAAGACCTAGGGTTAGAGAGACCAGGGGAAGACAGATGTTTCTTAGTCTTGGTCCAAACGCGGTTAACAAGAGAATATCCCATGTTTCGAAGAGTTTCAGCCCCACAACATAAGGGGTCTCTAGGGATTTTTTCTTCCCCCTTCAAATCAATCTTAAAATGTTTGAAGATTTTAGTGAAGATCAGTTCGCAAGGAAGAGCTTGATTGTTCT